AGCAGCGCGGCCGCCGCTCCGCCGGCTCCCGGGCCGCTCCGCAGGCACCGCAGGGAGATTTGGGGGGGTCTTTAGTATTATTGTTATTATTATTTCTCGGGGGTGGTTTGGATTATTTTGGGGGGGGGCATCGTTTTTTTCCTCCCGTCGTCGAGGCTCCGGAGAGAAGAAGGGGAAGAACTTGACAGCCGCCCCGCTGCCCTCCCCTGAATTTTTTGTTATTCCTTCTTCTATATTTTGTTAGTTTTTGGTTTATTTCTTTCGATTTTCTTTTCTTTTCTTTGGTTTTTATTTTTATTTTTATTCTCCTTTCTTTTCTTCCATTTTAATTTATTTGATTTCGTTTCATTTAATTTCATTTGATTTTGTATTATTGTTTTTCCTTTTTTTTATTTTTTCTTTTTTATTTTTTTTTTCTATTTAATTTTATTTTTGCATTATTTTTCGCTGGTTTTTTTTTTTTGGTTGGTTGGTTTTGGTTTTGGTTTTGGGTTTTTTTGGTTGGGTTTTTTTTTGTTGTTGTTTTTTTTCTCTTTTATTTTTTTTTTTTTGCCGCCGCCGTGTGCCGGCGCGGGGCTGGCTTCTCCTTTTGAGCGTCTCCATCCCCCGGCGGAGGTTATGATGGTGCATTGTGCGGGCTGCGAGAGGCCGATTTTGGACCGGTTCCTATTGAACGTCTTGGACAGGGCATGGCACATCAAATGCGTCCAGTGCTGCGAGTGCAAGTGCAACCTGACCGAGAAATGCTTCTCCAGGGAAGGGAAACTCTACTGCAAAAATGACTTTTTCAGGTGAGTCCTCACCCCCACCCCAGAGGGGAGCGGAGGGTGCGGAGCTCTTCACCCCTGCCCGCCCGGGGTGTCCCCAGGAGCTTTGGGGGGCTCAAGGGGGTCCCCTCCGGTTTCCCCGCTCGGGAGCAGCCGCCGGCCCGGGGGAGCCCGGGGGGGACACGGTGGCCGCTCTGCAGCCTGAGGTGGGGGCTGTGCCCCCCTCCCCATCACCTTCCCCGCCCTCCCATCGCCTCAGGCCTCGGGGGGCACCGGGGACCCCCCGAGCGCCGCTCTCCGGGCCCGGCACCCCGAGCTCCCCTCCCGGCACCGCAGGCCCCGGTGAGAACGGAGCCCAAAACCTCCCCGCGCACCTCAACAGCCCCTAAGGAGCACCACAAAGTGCCGGGAGGAAACCGGGGGCAAAGGGGGGGCCGTGACTTATGACTCCTAATGCTCGCACTACATCAACGTCAGGGAGGCACGAGTTGTGCCGCGGCCCGAGGGGAAAAAGGGGGGGACCCTGCGTGGGTGCCCCGGGGCCTGGCAGCCCCCAGGGACCTCGGGGACCCGGCTGCGACAGCCCCTGCTCCTTGTTCTGGGAGCAGATTTTTTTGTTTTGTGGGATTTTGTTTCGGTTTGGACGTTGAGGGGCTTGGTTTTATTTTTGTTTGTTTGGTTTTTTTCTTGTATTATTTTCTTTTTTGTTCCGTTGGTTTGGGGGGTTTTGTTGGAATTTTTTTACTCATCTGCTGTGGGTTTTATGTTTTCTTCTTGTTGTTGCTTTTTTCTGGGGATTTGGGTTTTGTTTTGTGGGGTTTTGTGGCAGGTTTTGGTTGTTTGGTTTTGTTTCTTTTCCCTTTTTTTTTTTCTTTTTTTTTATTTTTCTTTTTTCCCTCCCCTTGGGAGATCGTTCCCAGCCGATTCAGATTCCCTGGATTTTTTTTATTTTTTTTCTTTAAGAAAAACCAAAACATCTCCCGGGGAAACAAAACCAAAAACTCACCTAAACCCAGACCCTCTCTGGGAAGGAAAGGAAAACGGGAGATTTACAAAGCACTCTTCCTGACCTGGAAAAATTCCCCTCGGGAGAGCCAGACGGGCTTGGGGAGCTTTGGGGAGCGCAGCCCCCTCCTCTGCCGCCCGTTGTTCTGATCCCCGCACCCTCCGCTCCCTTTTCCCGTCTCTCTGGCCCGGTTTTCCCCACGGGATTTTGGGGCCAGAGCCCCGCGTTCCCCTCCCGGGAGGCACTGCCTGAAACGAAATCCTGCCCCGCCGAGTGCCGAGGGGACCCCCGGCCGCTCTCCCCTCCCTCGCGTCCCTTCTGGGGCCAAATCCGGGCGGGGATGCTCGTGGGGACACCCCAAAGGCCAGGGCTGCGCGGGGATGAAGGCTCTCCTCATCCTCGCCCCGCAGGTGCGGTTCGCCCTCGGGAGATGCTGAGGAATCAGGATCTGGGGAGGGGGGTTCGGTCCAGCGCACACACACAGCCCCCCGCCTCTGCCCATCTTTGCCGGGGCTCCAGCTCTCCCTTTTCTCTCCTTTCCCAGGAGGTTTGGTACCAAATGCGCCGGCTGCTCCCAAGGGATCTCTCCCAGCGACCTCGTCCGGAAAGCCCGGAATAAAGTCTTTCACCTGAACTGTTTCACCTGCATGGTCTGCAACAAGCAGCTCTCCACGGGCGAGGAACTCTATATCATCGACGAAAACAAATTTGTTTGCAAAGAGGATTATTTGAACTCTCCCAGTTTGAAGGAAGGCAGCCTCAACTCAGGTACGAGCTGCTCAGCCCGCCCACCGCTCCGTCGGTTCCTCCCGGCCGGGCAGGAGGTTCGGATTTGGGGTGAGGGGCTGCCCCCCGCGGCCAGCCCGACCCCCCCCCGGTAATCCGTGCCACCGGCACCGGCAG